GATAAACACTATTTAGGTGGATTTTCTTTGTGTTGTGTGTTTTGTTTTGTAATTTTAATTTTACTGAAAGAGAAACCTGAAAATGGAGAAAATGCAGATGATATAGATTGCATTTTCCATCTGTTTTTGGAAAAACATGATTGATTGTCACCTTTTCCTATTATAGTTTGCTTCCAAGTTGTCTTTTTCTCGGCATTAATATTGCAGTTTATGGTTAAGTCGAGTTTTTCTTCTTTATAAGGTTTATTTTTCCAAGCTTTTTCTGTTACATTAGCATTATGGTAAACAGCAGACAACATATAATCACAGATTTTTAGACCTTCCAAATCTGAGCTTTTCGTAATTTTTGTGATCTAATATTCGGTGCACATTAATCAAGTGGGGTTTTCCTTTTTCATATATTTTTTTTGTTTAGTATTTTAAATAAACTGAAAAATAGACCTAAAAATGGAAAGATTGTTGATGGTGTAATCTGCATTTTGTATTGAAAAGTTTCTCGGACTATCTCCATCTGCTGTTGCAAACCATGCATCCTTTTTTCAGCATTAATATTCTCGTTTGCAGCTTGTAGGTTCATCGTTCGTATTCTTTACATAGTTTATTATTTCATCGATTTATCTAAAAAACGTAAATGGACATACAGTTATTGTCAACAAAACTGTTTATATTTTATAAATATGATATGGTTTTTGGTAAATAAGTTGTAGCTGGTACGATCAAAATGTATAATAAGATGTTCAGAACAATATTTGAGAAAAATATTTTGTGTAACTTACATAAAAGTCCTTGTTTGACCTATTAGTATCGTGGTAAGTATGAATATACAGAATAGCATATGGTAACAAGATTTTGCTTGTGAAATTATGGTTTCTGCACTACCATTTTATTGTTATTTATAGTCAGATCAACCTTTTATATTTTCTTATGCTATTTGCTTTTGTAGCTCTCGATGCTTTGAAATAGATCTATATACCATATTGTACAATATCTGTCTAAGAAAAAATGTTTGTCATTTTTCTTCATTTTACTGAATTATGTTGCTTTGTAATAGCTCATTATATACTACGTTAACAGTGTAAGAGTGATCATTTGAAATTTCAGCTACATACTGACGGTCACCTATATTTGTCATTTGAATTTTGAGGTTGCCAAAACTTCTAGCCCTTGATAGTGCAACATACAGTTGGCCGTGATCAAATACTGTTACTGGTAAAAATAAGCCGACACTGCTCAAAGTTTGGCCTTGGCTTTTATTAATTGTCATTGCAAAAGCCAAACGTACAGGGAATTGTCTCCTTTTCAAGTTGACTGGTAGATCACGAGAGTTTAGAGCGATATTGTCAACTCTGGAAATTAATTCGATCGAAGGTTCATTATTAGAGTCTTCTACTCGTTTTGCTTCTATAAAATGTTCGTGTAAATTATGAATCAAAAGGCGTGTGCCGTTACATAAACCTCTCTTTACATCTAAATTCTTCGTTAAAATGATAACTGCACCAATCTTTAGTGTAAGAATGTGGGGAGGAAGTCCTGGAGCATCCAAAGAATTTAAAAAGTCTTGCCGCCATGCGGAATCTAAATCATCAGCAGCATTTTCAGTTGTATCGTCTTCTCGGATAATACTATCAACACTTAGATATTGTCGTGATCTGCCTGGCAGTTTTTCTAAAACAACTGCATTGATATCCTTCACATGAATGTTTAATGGAGACAAAATCGCTTTTTGTAATAGTGTGAAATCGTGTTAAATTAAATTGCTACTGTAAATGCTTTCAGTGACCTTTTCTACAATAATATAGTTAGGAACTTTGACTATAGTATCTCTGCCTTTTTCTAAGTGACGTAAAATTTCGGAATTATTTCCTATGGTCATGAGCCAATCTTTGAATTCGTTTTGCTGCGGCAGTGCTCTAACGTTCGTAAGAAGATCGTACCGAAGAAAGTGTTGCCATAGTTTGGAACATTTCACTGATGCAGAAATAGTTTCATTTTTGCCGGCCAACGGAATGATAGGTGCGCATTACCTGAAATTGCCTTATTAGAATTATAATAATCTTTCATTAAATATACTTTTATGTACCATCGATACTTCATCAATGACAATAATTTTTGAATATCTAATATTACCAGCAATCGCACTCTAATTGCGAATCCTTGACGTTGAATTTTCTAGAAATGGAACCGGTAACATAAAAGCAGAATGAATCGTTTGGTCATTTTTCAATAAGCTGGCTGCGATACCTGATAACATATTCCTAGTAGGTAAGCCAGTAGTGTATTCAATAGAAATGTTTTTCCTGCACCTCCAATTCCGTTAATAAAGAAAGGACGATGTGAAACTCTTTCATTTTCGTTTACGGCTAAAAGTATATCGGCAAAAATTCGTCGTCGCTCTTGGATTAACAGGGGAATGTTTCTATTAGCAATTTCTTGTTCTTCTGCTTGGTCATAATCGTATTCATCTTTGATCAGGTGTTCTACTGGTTCAGTGGGTAAGGCCAGTTGAAAGTCTCTGTTTGATTTGCCTAAAAATAAAAATGTAGTAAGTAGTTGTATAAACATTATATAATTATATTGAGAAATTACTTATCATAATAATATAACGTAGTTTTAAAATAATTTTGTATTCGTCTGAAATTGATTGGAACACAAATGCTTATGTTGTGTTGAATTAATAGCGATAAATATATTGAAATATTGAATTCATATTACATCACAGTACTGTTACATATAAAGTGACTAAATTCAAAAAAATTTTAGTACGAAAATAAATGATTTCAGTATGCTTAAAAAATGTGAAATAAAGAAAAGGTATTTGAAAAGATAAGCATCAATTTTAAATGAATTAATAAAAGTAATTATTGATAGAAATATTAACCTTGTAGTGCTAAGTATCGACTGGTGTAAGCCAAGGCATAGTTGTAGGCTAGGTCGTTATCGTTTAAGCGTCGTATATAATCTTCAGATAGATGATATTTAAATTGTCCCCACAATGCTAATGGATTTTCGATTTCACAAAACAGCAAAATCTGTGAAAACGTACGACGAAGAGCTCGTAGAAGTTGTACGTGTATAGCTTCTTGCAACGTGGTGAACCAAATACTATCGTCCGTGAGAAGGTTCATCGCAATAGCAGCGTCGCGGAACATTTCGTACATACGGCCATGTACAGTACGAATGTCTTCGAATGATCTACATTCTGTTTTATGCAAAAGAAGTTGACGAAGATAACGTCTTTCGCCTTCTCTAGGATGTACAAAATATAATCTAGGAATTATACTATTAAAATGACGTTGACGTGTTACATAAATTCTTGTTTGTGTTATTTTCCACACATAGTTATAAGGTATCTGTACGTATGTGTATTGTCTAGCTTCTTCATCTTGGGTATTTAAGGCGAACCATCCTGTTAACGTAGTGTGTTGTGTTGCGACCCTTTCTACGACGACAGGAATGGTACTAGTTGTATTAAAATAGACTTGTTGCATATTCGGAAGATGTACAGAGAGCTTGATAATAGCATGGGACATAAGGTGCATTTCGAATGTATAAATCCTCCACATCGCCTCAGACGCGCTAACATAGCGAACTTCCAGAAATATTTGAATTTCGTTGTACATAGGTTCCTGGATAGTTGTTGTTTGGCCGTGTTCTTCCACGGTTCGTACGACAATTTGAGCTCTATCAAATCCTTTTATATATATTTAAATAAATATTTTACGCTTTTCATTGAATAGCAAGCCTCCACGTTAATGTGAGCTTCGTATTTTTCAAGTAGATAAGCGATATATGGCACAACCCAACCATTATCTACTGTTCTTCGACCTATATGTATAGGTGTTTCTATTGGCCGTCTTTTATATAACGGATATCCACAGGGAATGTAAAAGGTATCTTCACGCAAAGATTTCGGGAATTACAATTACAAGGTCCATGAAGCATATGTACTTTGACCAATTCGTGCAAGTTGGTATGCGCGATAGGGTCGGGAAATTCTGCTGAAATTAAACGGTCGATTGCTGCAGGGTCCAATATTTTGTCTGATTCTTCTAACCAAATCAACATATGCGCAATTCTATTACGTAAACGTAAGCAACACAAACTCCCATAATATGTCGTTTATCAATATCTTCTATTAATTCCTCTAATTTGCTCTTGAACACTCTGGATACAAAATCAGGTCTATTTGAGGAATGTTGACTTGTTATCTAAGTTATTCCTGATTTCAGGCCATGCAGGATTGCAAGTGAATGTTAGGAAAATATCTGGTTTCCCATGTTTTGTGACTATAGACATGGCATCCAAATAGTTTTGTCTAAATGCGCGTGGACTTCCTATGAATGTCGACGGTAGGATGAAAATATTTCCTGGTTGATAATGAACATCTAATTGTCTAGAGTCTAAATAGTCGATTAATCCTCCAAATATTTCTTACCTGAAACGTGGTTGATTTTCAGTAATAAATTGTAGTCGACTCTGTTTTATTTTTACGTATGCATCTACGATGTACTGTTGTGTCAGCTTTCCTGCCATTACAAATTGGTTGAAGGTATTTGGTCGAACAGCTATTCTGAAACTATAGTATTCCAGTAACGATATATAGCCTCTTCTATATTGATGTGGTATTCTAGACTGCCATCCTGCTTCACCTCTTGGATGTAATAGAGGATAGGTCATTGCATCGCAATTGACACTAAGATATAGTAATTTGTGGATAATCTGGTCCTTGTCTCGACAATAAACATGTAAGCAACGATCCAGGGGCGGTCTCCCATCTTCAGAAATAAGTACGGCTGCTATTTCATTGGCCTGCACCGCGCCATATTGTCTGAAATTAATATCCCGAGTACGGTTGTTATTGATGTACAATTCCATTCTTGGATGACTATTGCTGTGTTGTTGTTGTTGATAGACATCCTTAAGAAATCTATATGCTTGAGCAAATGGATTGTGATTGTACAGGTAATTAGAGATGAGGTCGACGATTTCTCGATTTAATTCTGCTCGATTTTGTGGGCCAGCAGACCGAAATTGATTTGCCATTTGAAATATTAGTCGAAACATTTGATATATGATGTCTTATTTCTCCTTGTACCTAGAAAGAAAAGCAAATTCATTTTAAAAGGGATAAAGAATTTATTAATAATATAATTGATTTAAAAAAAAATGAAATAATTGGTGTCTAATGTATTATTGTTCTTTGTATGTGGATAAAATAAATAGCATTGTAGAAAAAGGTAAAACAGATCAAGGATATATATATATATATAACTTCTTTGGGATAGTGATAAGAAATTAATTTAAATAGTTAAAAAAAGATTTTGTGTTAGTATCTCATATTTTTATAATATTTTTCATCTTGGGTGCCACAGTCTGTTATGATTAAATGGTAAGGTTTTTAAGAAACTTTATCTATACAGAAATATGTGAGTTGATGAAAAGTATATTTTTAAAGTATTTTGAAATATACAGGGTATTTCGAAAACGTGTGAGAGTTGATATATAATCTAAAAATTGTTGACCAAGCACTTTGAAGGGAGTAGGTTGTAAGACGCGCGACAGAGAGGAAAAATACACAGTATTTCTTTGGTCAAAATGTATATAGGTCAAAATTAAAATTCCACGACTTGGTAGGACATATTTCAGATTGGGATTTTTTTTCTGGAAAGTACCTATAAAGGTATGAGACTTTGTGAAATTTTAGGATTCTAGGTCGAATAATCCGGTTTGAATACGCGCTTGGAGTTTGTAAGTCAAAATGTAAATTTTAGCGTTTTAGCAACTTTTCAATTTCTCGGGGAAAACGAAAAAGGCATGTTATGTCCCTATAGGTTCGCTTCAGAAACAATTGAACGTGATATGAGCCGTGAGTCGTTTTATACAATCATGGGAATTGTCAATTTTGATTTGAAACATCGAAAATTGAATGCAAAGTTTTTCTGATCAATGTAAATGGTCCATTACGAATTTATATATTAGCTGCTATATGGAAAAAAATAGTTTTGTGAATTTTTAGTTTTGTAACGTATTCTAATTGTCTACCTAATAATAAACCAGTAAATAATTTCGAAAAAAAATATTTGATTGAAATTTTTGTCCAAGAAATCATTATATAGCAATTTTAAGGAAATTTTTTACTTCGTTGAATAATTTTGTCTTAAGATAGTTATATATTATGATGCTTATTACTTTTCATTGATAGGAGTAGCGAAATCTCTAACACGTTAAAATTTACATTTTGGTCGAATCTCCATATTTTGAGTGCGTCTCCGGAGTGAACTGTTCATTTCAAGACTGAAATTTTATAGAGCTTCATGCCTTCATAAGTAATGTTTAGGAAAAAAATAGCTCGATCTGAAAAATGACCATTCAAGTAACATTGTGGAATTTTATTTTTCATTTATATCATACTACATATATTATTTTTACTAGTTACCTTGAATACATAAGGTCCTCGACCAGCTGGGATTACAGTATTAACACCCAGGCTGGCAAAGGCAAAGCTAATGTTGTAATAACGTACATTTTACATGAATTCTCGATTCTGAAATAGTACCCTTAATTGTTCAGGGTATGAATTGAATGGAGGCAGATGTACTGCACCAGTTTTACAACATTGCGAGTAAATATTTCTGGAATTTCTTTTGCAGAAAAAGTGTAAAGCCCCACAATGAGAACAAGCAGAAGTAAAAGTTCCCAATGTATAGAAACTTGTGTAATGCTCAACTGCTGCCATGTAATGACTTCCTTTTCGATTGATATGTTCGGTTAGATTTTCGGCTATTATATTGTTGGTATCTTGTAACATATTGTCTATGCCGAGGTTAGCTAGCATTTCATTGAGTTCATCGTCTTGCATTGCCATAGTAATATTGTCATCATTCTGTTCTTGATGTAAAGTTGGTAAAGATGACGTTTACGTTGGCTCAATGTGTTGTGAAAATATATCAGTTTCCATCTGTGTAGGAGCACTATTTGTTAGCAAAGAGGCATTTCTGTCGATGTCCTGTTATCTGGATGGCCACATATTTGATGAATGGATAACAATCTCTGAATTCTTAATACATGTAATTTGTGATGCAACAGCTAGAGTATCAATACTGAAATAAAAATAAAACATTAGAAATATATTAAACATAATGTTTCAGTCCCTTCAAGGAAAATATAACCAACTATGGACTACTCATCAGCATGACCTAGGCTTTGTTTTTCACTTTTAGATAACGAAAGAAAGTATCGCAACTATCCTCTATCTCGAAGGTCGAGTCTCTGAAAATGACTGCACAAAGTGCTATACATAATGGTAGAATCGACCATCACAGAGAGCGACCAAAGTCACCATTGGATATCCGGGGAAGCTCATGAAAATAATGTCTCGATAGTTTCCATATGTCATTACTAATTTTTAAGTTATATCAACTTGGTCATGACCTATAAGGTCTTTCGAAGGTCAACTCTTTTTCAATGGGATCCTATACTTTTAACCGAGGAAATGAAAGAAACGAACAATTTTATGTTACAATACGTTCTAAAGCAAAATTATATTTTAATTTCTTAATAATTCAAATAGCTGTAATGCTCAGATAAATTGAATTTACCATTTCTTCAGGATTGTTTTGTGGCTAAAAAAATTGAATTGACTTTAGTATGATCTTGAAGGTCATCATTGTAGAAGGTCACATCCAAAGTCACCATTATATGTTTCAGTAGTTTCCCTATATGACTATTGATTTTCAAGTTATATCTTATTGATTTTCAAGTTATATCAGTCTGTGTCACATACAATTATTGTTCATATTGTATTATAACATTATGCGGATCAGTTATTTAATGTACGTGAATGTATTTATCTTACTAGTAGTAAACAAGCAAACGATCTCGTCCTACCTTGTCAAGAATTTGGTTGGTACACAGTCCATGAAATAATCTTTTGGCGAAGAGTTTCCATTTATAAGGATAAAGTACGGGTCTGGATACATTGGTGCAGCGGATTTTACAGTTTTCAGTCGTTTTCGGCCATATTTATATAACCTCGGAGTGACGTAAAATTGACAAGTTGACAGTTTGTTCTTCCTGATCCATACTACATAAGAAATTACCATACAGAGTGTCATGACCCGCAAAAAGAAGAAGGAAGAAGAAGAACAACAAGAAAAGCCCGGGAATGAAAAAAACTGCATCACAGATGAAGAAAATCGACCTGATTCGACTAATGTAAAAAAGATATTAGAAGAGAATCGATCCCTGAAGAAAACACTAGCAGAAAAGGAGGAAATAATTCGTCAGCTCAATAACGAAAATTTAAAACTAAAAGAGCAGCAACTGTCAATAACAGCAAGTATTACTGAGAAGGATGCCATAGCATCAGCATTAAATAGAATTAATATGAGACTCGACGAAGTTGAGAAAAACCAATTAGTAAAAGAAAATTCATACGCACAAATCTTAAAACAAACGACACCTATTACTAAAAGGCAATCACTGAAATGCATCACAGTTATTCCAAAAGAAAAACAATCTTGCGATAATACGAGAAGAGAATTGAGTAAGAGAATAAATCTTTCATCTCTGAACATTCAAATAGAAAGTGTGAGAAACTCAAAAAATGGCGGAATTGATATAAAAATTGATGAATCAAACCATAATAAACTGAAAGATGAACTTCAAAATAAATTGAATGAACAATACCAAGTTACTGAGCCGAAAATCTTAAATCCAAAAATTAAAATAATAAATTATAAAAGTAGTGAGAAACAGAATGAAAAGCAAATTGAAGATCTTATACATCAGAATTATATGATTCAGAGTGGAGACATACAAGTAAAGTTTATCAAATATTTTCCATCAAGAAACAATTACACTATCTACGCGGAAACTTCTGGAAAGCTATTCAAAAAAATCTTCTAAGACAGTAATAGAAGAATACTTCTGGGATGGCAATGTTTGACAGTATATCAAAATAACGACATTTCTCAGTGTAGAAAATGCTACCGTTTTAATCATACAGAAAAGAATTGCAGGAATGAGAAGATATGTATGTGCCAACTGTGGCAACGGTCACCAAGAAGAAAATTGTAAGCATGTATCAATAGAATGCTGCAATTGTAGATATGGAAATGCAAGATATAAAAAAATTATAATATTAACCACTCACCTACCGACAAAAACTGTCCATCGTACAAATATTATCAGGAACAACAAAACTTAAAGATACTTTTTTAAAATTCAAGTTCATCTTTTACTACTCCTATCTCTAAAGAGGACCTAAAAATGTCAGTAAATAAATACATTAATGATTTCCAAATTCCAAGTATTGCAACAAATATAGCACAAAACGTCGATGAACTTAATTTATGTACACAAAATTCTGATGCAAAATTTCGAATTTTTAATATGAACATAAGGAGTATAAAACACAACATTGATTGCTTAAAAATACTACTCGACCAAATATGGTACAATTTTGATCTAATAGTTTTAACTGAAACGTGGCAAGTGGCTGATATTTCTTGCTTCAATCAGCAGGGACATGACACGCTGTATAACTTTGGCACTTATAACCAAAACGATGGGGTGATAGTTTTTGTAAGAAATAAACTGCAATATAATCATGATACATTCACTTTCACCGATGGAATCAAAATTTTAAACATAATGATCCAAATTAACCATGACAAAATTGAGGTATCGGCAATTTATCGTCCGCCATGTTCAGAACCCCACGAGTTTTTAAAGAATATCGATTTTTTTTTCAAAATCAAAATAAAGTTCATTTAAAGCAACATATTTTCTTGGGAGATGTCAATATAAGTATTTTGGACGATGATCCCATCACAAATGAATACTTGAATATCCTATCAAGTAACGGATTTCTGTCCTATATAAACCTACCTACAAGGTCCATCAGTGGCACATGTATAGATCACTGCTTTCTGAAAGACCTATCCAGCAAAATTACTTGTATACCAATAATCCTAGAAAGCGATATTACTACTGTCCACTTCTCCACTATTTTACTGATATCTTCAAATGAAAAACATTCTAACATCCCTACCGTTAGTAACAACCAGGAACATTACAAATTTTTTGTCGACAATTCAAAACTAATATCAAATGTCAAACAAGAATCCTGGGAACAATTATACTCTATAAATAATATAGACAAAGCAACGGGACTGTTCATAGAGAAAATAAAAAAACTAATAGATATTAGTACCAATAAAGTAATAATTAGTCACAAAGAGAAAAGCAGAAATGCCTGGATTACCAAAGGATTAATAACATCGGCAATAGAAAAAGAAAGACTATATAATGTAATGAAACTAACGCCAACCAGAGAGAATACCGACTGCTACAACCAATATAAAAATAAATTTATAGAGCTTGTAAGGCAAACCAAACGAAAACATTACCTAAATAAATTGAACAATAACTTAAATGATCCTAAGCGGCTTTGGACAACTATTGATCAGATTACTGGGAAAACAAAAGTTAAAGAGTGTGTCACTGAGTTAAATACAACATCGGGAACAGTATTAAAAAATACTCAACAGATATGCGATGAATTTGTACAATTCTTTACTGACATAGGCGAAAATTTAGCAAGTACTCGTAATATACAAGCAAATGTACAAAATACTCAGCCTCCAAAAAGAACTTTGAACTCATTTATTTTGGATAAAGTCGAGCAATGTGAAGTATACACCACTGTTATGTCCTTAAAAAATCGGAAAAGTCCTGGGTTCAATGGTATTAAAAGCGAGCATTTGAAAATTATAGCCGAGGACATAACAGAACCACTCACTTACCTAATCAACAAATGCTTTGAATCTGGCATATATCCCTCAATGTTAAAAAATGGTAATATAATACCGATACATAAATCAGGAACAAAAACAGATGTTAACAACTATAGACCAATATCAATAATATCCAGTGCAGCAAAGATTTTTGAAAAAGTTTTATCTACTACAAAGATTCGATACCTCACAAAATTCAAAATTTTAAGTGAAAATCAATATGGATTTACAGAAGGGAAGGCTACATCGGACGCAATAACTAAAATTGTAAATCAAATACATCAAAATATTGATAACAGAATCCCTTCAATCTGCATTTTTGTTGATTTAAAGAAAGCTTTCGACACAGTTAATCACAAATTATTATTAGAAGCATTGGGGAGAATTGGTTTCAGAGGAAACGCGTACTCATTGAACGAAAGTTATTTGTCAAATCGCCCACAATCTGTGCAGATATCATGATCATTTAGTAAAGAAATGTATATTAAGTGTGGTGTCCCACAAGGAACTGTCTTAGGTCCGCTGTTATTCAATATATATTTAAATGATATTTTTCAAATTAATTGTGTTGGCAAAATAACTAGTTTTGCAGATGATACTGCAATATTATATGAAGGCACTGACTGGTCTGATCTGAAAAATGTAATTGAAAATGATTTTATCAAAATTATTCGGTGGTTTAACAGTATAAAATTAAGCATTAACTACTCTAAAACACATATTTTACCATTTGGATCTTATGCTAGACATCTGCCAAATTACACAAATTTCTCCTTCAATATTAATGATCAAAAAATGCAAATTATTAGAGTGCCCAACATAAAATACCTTGGAGTGGTCTTGGATCCTCACTTACGATGGGACATCCATGTCAATTATATTTTAAAGAAAGTTAGATTTGTATCCTACAAAATTAAATACCTTGGGAATATATTGACAGAAAAATATTTTCGAACATTATACCATGCACTGATTGAGCCTCATCTCACATATGGTATATTAGCATGGGGAGCTGTATGTTCCTCACATATCTATAATTTAGATGTTTTTCAAAAAAGTATTCTAAAAATGATATTTAAAAAATCGAAACTTTATCCCACTGAAAAATTATACGCCGATGTTCGAATGTATGATATAAGAAGCTTTATTTCTTACACAGTATCACTCACTACCATAAATTTGTAAACACAGACCAAAAAATTAAACATAATCATTATATCAGGTACAAAATTCGTGGCACAGTAGTTCCTCAACCGCATAAATCTATAATGCAAAGATCATATCTCTATTTAGCGCCTAAATTTTATGAAATTATACCTAAAGACTTAAAAGATTTACGTTTCGGAAATTGTTTCAAAAGAAATTTAAAAAAGTGGCTACATTCTATATCTAGGACTGAAATTCATAAACTCATAAATACGAACATCAACTAAATACATAATCTACTGTAGCTAATTTTTGTCCTTTTTTGTCATTTGCATTCTACAGTTTCAACTTAAATTTATTGGTCCATGTACAGGCGATGCCTTCTATTGGGCCTGTTTTGATTTTATATTTATTTACTCATACTGTTTGTTATCTTTGTACATTGAGTGAATAAATATTATTATTATTATTATTATTACATGAGTGTAAAAAAGTTGTATTTGACGAAATTTCTTTTATGTTCATTTTATAGTGCGTATTGACAAATGTAATTATTGTAAATAAATGATTTAAATAAGTAACTAAATAATATTCGTTATTCTAGGTATTATTATTTATTATTTCATTTTGAATTATATTTTATTTGATTTTGGATCTGAATTAATATTGACACATACCTAAATTTTTTACCTTATATTTGAAAGTCCTGTTGGGCCTGGTATGCCAATGGGATTATTGGGGAGTGCAGTTGTAGTGCTGGCTGTTTTGTTAAGAATAACTTCGTCGTTTAATTAACTTGTTGAGTTTTGTGATAGATGTTGGGTATGAGTATAGTTGCTGGCGGCAGAGGTTGGTTTGTTTTTTAGATCTTTTCAATGGAGTATTGCCTTTCTCCATTTACCCCCTAAAAGTATAAAATAAATAAGTAAGTTGTTAGGCAGATATCTTATAACATAATGAAAACCATGATGACAGGAGAGAAAACATAGAGTATAATTTTCTTCTTGTGATTTTATAGAAAAAAATGATTAAAAAGTTAATTTAGTCTAAAGATAGATATATGGAATTAAATCCTTATTGTTCCAATCCTTTTTAAGAATATAATGCTATTCAACTTGCTAATTACTTTTGCATATGCAGTTTTATCAGTATCATAAAAGTTAAATTTTAATTCATTATAAAATGCAAGAAAAGTGAATTTCAGAAGGTAAAAGAAAGTCTCATTCAGCAGGTTGCAAATATTATTGGCGTTTAAAATTTCTTGTGTACCTGCAAATTTTAAATTTATTCGAAAATAAATGTATAATAATGCCTGCGAAGTATCAAGTCAATATATTTAACGCCTTTTCTTTCTGTGAGGATCACTCAAAAAAATTCGATATCTTAATTTAATTTTTTCACGTTGCCAGATAACTTGTACCAAGATTATCAAATATTTGAAACATGTATCAATTATTGTGACGTTGAATCATGCAATGATTAAGATAATGTGAATTTTGAAATGCTGAAGAGTAAATCCATGCCTGCCACAGTTCGAGATATTTTAGATCTCATCACAATCAATAATTTTAAATGTTTTTCCTATGATGATATTGTTTTCATTTATGATAAGGAACGGGAAAAGGAAGAATTTTTGAAAGTTATCAGACGATAGAACCTAAATATTACAATGCATTTCAAAATTAAAATAGAAATTAGTTACGGCAGATATTTAACATTTATGTATTTTCATTGTAAATGAAGTCTAATGTTATGCAATAGAAATGGAAAATTAAGGAGGTGAATATGTCCTTTAAGTAACTTGGAAAGCAATTGTATGAATCACCGTAAATCTTGTATAAAAAAAAACGTGTGAAAAGAGAAATTAGAAAGTGTGAAAACATAAGGGCATAAGCATTAGCTAACTGAAATATTGGAAAAATAAGTAGATAATGTAAAAATAGAGGAAATAAAACAGAACAAAGCATCATCTATTACTTACATCAAACACGTATGGAGAATGCACAGTAGTTGTTCTGGAAAAATAATCAATTCACGTTTATCAGACAAGTCACCATGTGACTGCCAGATGGCCGATGATTTTGGCAGAACAGCAAATGTGGTCTATTTACCAATGAGAAATATCAGGAATATAAGATATTTTCAACAAAAAGTTCAGTTCTTTAGTTATAATACTTGTGGGGAATCATGTTAAAATTGTTTTTTTAATATGATTGCCTAATGTTTCAACAATTTGAAAATAGATCCCTATAGTATGTTATATTAAATTGGTTCTTTTAGTAGGATCTTTTTGAATTTGTAATAAAATATAGATTGTTCCATTAAAAAAATGTATGTTTGGGTCACCATGTAATAATGAATCACATAGTGGAAATAAAAATATTATCGAAGTATGGAATATTCTGTTCGTTACAATTTTTAAGATTAATTTTAATTTACACGTAATAACGAAGTAATTTTCAGCGTGTATAGCTGTAGCTTCGAGCAGTATAGCAATGATTGGCATAGAATTTGAACAATGCATGAATTATTTCTGTATACTTACTTTGGTGTTAATTGTACAGGAATTGCTGTACTGTTATGGGCAACAGTTTGTTGATCTGATGTAATAAAAGATGTAAGTAACTGCGAGGAGACATGACTGTGTAATGAAGTAGTGGGAACTGCTGTATGCTGCTTTGGCTTGCACTCATCCATATTTGTCTTACATTTGCATTTCTTCCCTCATACTGAGATGTTTGATTCTTGCTCTTGATCTGGAGTGGTTCTACAAATCATTAAGACAAAATTAAGTTATAAAATAAGATCAAAAAATATAATACATTATCATCAGAAATAAGGTAATGGTAAATATAGATAAATGTGAAGTATAGTCAACGCCAAACAAAGTGGCGTGCACGTCATCACGATAAAAATTCCCCGACCTAATGCCTAGGTTTCTATCACAAACAATTGCTCTATTGCAGTTTCATATTAATGTGATATATAAATTGTAAAATGGTCATTACTCTCTTATTATGGTTAATAGTCATATAAACATTGTTATTAAAATATCACATAAGTTGCTTTCTGATAAATTTAGACGCATTATGCGAAATAAAATGTTTTGCAAACGCTCCAATCACTTATCGACATGTAAACGCACTAAACCGATGTCGCAGCGTTGACACATTCTCACCTTGAAACTTATTTAAACTGGGAACTGACATTTGTATTAATTTTGACACTGAATCAATTTGTGGCATTTCAAATTTTTATAAATCCTTTGGCCCCGCATACTGTAAATCAACAACTGTTTGTTTCAAAACAAAATTATTCATTTTACGAGTAGATAAAGGCAATTTTGGTATATAAAGATGCCCAAACAGTTAAATAGTCGGTGTAAGGAACTCGTGGCCTCGTTAATGCACTACTTTGAGCAAGAAAGGGACAACAACGGGCCTTTGTTGCCTTTAAATGCTGTTCAAGAGGTAGGTTACTAATAATTATATGTAATGTATATTAATAATAGTGAAATTTTATTTCATTTTTTGTAGCGTGTTGCTGCTGCTTTAAAAATTAGTTTAAGGACAGTTAGTCGTATTTCCGAGGGTGTGAAAAGTGATGCAAATTTAGAATCGCCCAAGAAAAAGCGGAGTTATATTAAACGTGTAACCAACACAGCGACACTGGATACAAGTGCCATTCGAGAAGTGATCTATAATATGTATCACAAAAGTAAGATCTTATTATAATAACTTATCAGAAATTTGCATTAATTTGTTAACTAAATTATAATGTCATATTACACATGGTTTCAGAAGAACAAGTTACGATACAAACTTTATGGTCTCGATTAAGAGATAGGGCATTATTTGATGGTAGTGCCACGTCTTTAAGGCGGTTGCTTAGAGATCTTGGATTTAAGTGGCTTAAGGACAATCCGCAACGAGGGCTCATGGAACTACCAAGTATAGCTTTGAAAAGGGTGGAATTTCTAAGGCAATACAATCAAGCCAAGGTTGAGGCCTTATACCAGTTTGTCTTCCTCGATGAAACTTGGATATTTCAAAATGGGACCATAGGTCGCTCTTGGCAAAATGGAAACCAAAAAAGCGTGAAAGCTATTAAAACAGATGGTAAAAGGTATGTACTTTTACACAATTTGCACTATAAAATTTAAAACTAATATATTTTAGATACATTATACTACATGCTGGAAATGAAAATGGGTTTATTGAGGGTAGTGAAGCGATATTTTCTTCGAAAACAAAATTGAGCGATTACCATGGAGAGATGAACCAGGATAATTTTTTGAAATGGTTTCAACATCAGTTATTAGAAAAATTGGAGAGTCCATCTATGATTATACTGGATAACGCCCCTTATCACAGCATGATATTGAACAAAGTGCCCAACAATGCATGGACAAAAAAAAATATCCAAGACTGGTTGACAAATCAAAACATACCATTTTTAAACACAATGTTTAAAACAGAGCTATTGAGTATTGTTGCTCGGTACATAATGCTTCTTAATTATATATATTTTGGTCGACAGTTTATACTTCTTTTCTATACTTCCTATTCTTAAAATAACTGCTTTTTTAGAAACAAACCACCTAAAATATACGTGATTGATGAATTGGCGGAACAACATGGGCACAAAGTTCTTCGTCTGCCTCCTTACCATTGTATATTTAACCCTATTGAGTTAATTTGGGGCATAGCAAAAGGTTACTATAACAGACATATTGGTAGAGATGGTAACAGTGAAAAAGACTGTTTGGATATGTGGAACGAGGCTCTACAAACGGTTACCCCAGACATGTGGAAAAATAGTGTTCGACATACTGAGCAAGAAATTTTTAAATGGTATGAAAGAGAACGAATTTTTGATCGACCAGACATCGAACCTTCAATAATCAACTTTGAGAGTGATGAAGATTCAGATTCAGACAGCGCTGAAGAAAGAAACTCCGACTAACTTTATTGTACAGAAAAAGCTTACACCAGTAGCTTACCTAATTTTAGAATGCATTTTTCTGTATGAATTCTGTAAAATAAATACCATGCATAAAATTTGGAGGACCCCATTTGGATTTTTATTCAGTACCTTTAAGCTATCAATTAAATATGGTAGTTTCATAGTGTCATCTGATCAATAATTGTCATACTTAATGATTATGCAAGTACAGATCTATAATTTTATTATACTATTATTTTTGTTCTCATTTGAGGTTAATATTGCTTATAAACCTAGATATGTAAATAATAAATTTTATTATTTTACAAAAAGTTTGGCAACAATGTAAATTTTTCAACACACCCACCTTGATGACGTGCACGCCACTTTGTTTGGCGTTGACTATATGTAAAGATGTTTTAACATTATTTTCCGACATTTTTTAGAATTATACAACATTTCAAAAGATTACAAATAAAGTAATTTGTAAAGCTTATGCAATCTGAATTAAGTACTATATAATTAAAACAGTGTTGTCAACATTTGTATAGAATGGCGTACAGAAGATAAGGTGTAATTAAAAGAAATATTTAAAAAACAAGGTTAAATCACAATTTGTTATGTAAATATAGTTAATTGCAGCCCACAATTTTCTATTATATATAATTATATATCTTAATATCTTAATTTTTTATTGATCTTACTCTAAATGAATTAATCATATTTGATTGTTGATCTATCGCAATAACAAATTCTCGACTGCTTGAAACGTATTTTTACCTTTTATTTTAATTAAATTTGCTATTTAGGTGTTTTTTATTTTTTTTAATAATTTATTTTCTGAATATTTAGTTCCAAAACAATAACAAAAGTATTTATAATCTAGACTGGTCAATCCTCCCAGAAGGGCTCTTATGAAACAGGGTGTGCCCAGTTACCTGAGCTTGATGTTAGTGGCATATTTTTAATCATCCTTTTGCCATCTATATTTCGGCACGTTTGTCACCTTATATTGGATTGATTGAATATATTGTTTCTCGAATATTATCGATTTTTTCCTATTTTTAAATAAAACAAAACCGGTAATCATCTATATGAAAAGTGGCTCTGGTTAATTTGGTTGAACTTATTATATTAGCTATATCGGCGGCCTTAACAAATGTTTCAATGGGCACATGCCCTCCAAATTCAACGGATTTAGATATACCTGTATATATATGGGCCGTAGTCATTGCCAAAGCCAACGACCAGTTGGTCACAAAATACAATCAATTGTTAATTGGAAAATTGGCAAATTTTTTTTTTCGGCATTCTCTATGGAGCCTTCATCAGGATTCTGAAAACACAATTGTGATGCTAGCAAAGAATACAGGACCGATTTAAATTGTCAAACAAGTTACTCGTCGTTGAGGTTGCAGCCACAAGGTGTTTCAAAACGAACGTAGAGAAGATAGAACTTGTTATAAATATAAAAACAAAAGGACGGAGATATTGGGCTTGTTGATAACGACAGATACATTTGTTACATGTTAAAAATATCAATACACCCGAACATATTAAAAATTATTAAACATGAGAAGACATTTTAGGGAATGCAGTCTATAACCTACGTCCGCTACACGTGGAGAGGGGGACGAAACGGAAAGATGGTGCGTCGATAGATGACAAGTGATTGACGCGACGGAACGTGGAATTGTAAACCTCATTGTCCAATTTGGGTATGAAGTATACGAGGGACGCTCGGTAAACCTCCACCCTATTTACTAAAATGCTGAATTAATTTGTTTTTAAAAAATGTGTAGTTCATATATGAGTGTACGAATGTGAGATAGTGATACACACTTGAAAAGATGGATTATGTGAGTTTGTATTAAAGATTGTGAGTGAAAAATTTCAATTACCAGGATTGCAATTGGAAATGTATTCTAATTTTGGGACGATGTTAGTTCGATATAGATATGTAGCCGTTCTAGCTTTTCGTAATTCAACAGATAGGAATAAATGACACTAAGCTGCTTAACATCAGCCTTTTTATTCTTGCAATGATCTGTTATGAAAATGTGGGACATTTCAAAAAATAAACGTTTTGAGAATCTTTTTTTGTCTTTGTCAAGAACCTCAATACTGCCATAATTCATAGAGTGACCTGTGTTGTTAATATGAGATGCCAAAGCACATCTCTCTGGATGTAATCTGGCATCACTTTTGTGGTGTGAAGTTATCCTGCCTTTCAGTGACCTCGAAGTTTGGCCTATATAAACTAAATAAATTACAGTTGTTGCAATTAATACGATAGACAGTGTTGGTTGAATCAAGCAACTGAACCTTATTCTTCATTTTGCACAACAAACTGTTGACTGTGAGCACTGATTTACAAGTAAAACAACAACTAAAGGAATTATACAGCCTGATCAATTTTGGTGTTAGTTCTTTGATGTCAACATGTCATTTTTTCATCCGCCGAACGTCTCACAAAAGTCCTTCTCTTGCTGCCGAAAATCACGAATTTCAACTCATCCGTCAAAAGAACTTTTTTGAAGTCGTCAATAGTAAAAGTTTTATGTGTCTTTGCCCACTGGAGTCGCTTTTTCTTGTTTTGTGGCCACAACAATGGTTTCCGTACAGCAATCCTACCATACAAGCCTACTGAACGCAGCCTCCGTTTTACAGTGTCAACAGAAATTTCTCCATTATGACAATTTATTATATTTGGCAGTAATTTCCGGGGCTGCTCGTCTTCTATTTCGCTTTGAACGTAAGATGATTGTCTTGTGTTATTGTTCCGTTGTTTTACGCGGTCTGCCACTGCGTGATCTGTCCAAATTGGACCCAGTTTCACGATACCGTTGAATTGTATAGGCTGTTGATTTG